AGCAGTCCTCTTCTCAGAGACATTCAAGGGCTATGCCTGAGGGGATAATGATGAAGTGACAGTCAGTAGGAGCATGTGCCAGCGTGTAACAGTGTGTTACTGTGTGTGTAAATGTTTGAGTCTGAAAGTGAGTGTGGGTGTGATTGTGAGTGTGTGTGATTGTGTGTGTGACACATCTCCGTCAGCCATTTCCATTTTGTCTGCAAACATTCTCTATGATGTGCAGGTGAGCTTAGAAATCAATGAACTAGGTCCACCTGCTTCAGAAAATGGATGGAGGGTCAGAGTCACTTAAAATGGAAGGGAGACGCACTTTGCAGACTCTGTGAAAGTTCCACCACCATCTGCAGACACAACAGCAACACACTCTGCAGCAGCAAATGAATAGCCCGAGAGGCAAAAATATGGTCTCTGGGAGACGTGAGAGTGTGTGGGAGCCCAGACACAGACCTCACTCTGAGGAGAACAGAGGGCTTTGCTTACAAGGGTGCACATGACCCGTGTGTACATGGGAACAACTGTTTCCTAAACATCATGAGAAACGACCTCCTTTGATTTTCACTCTTTTCCAACAAGTGTCCTCATGACGGTATTTGTGATGTTGTTTTATTATTCCCATCTCTATGCCCATGACCAGCCATTGGCCTCCATATTTCCCTCCATGCCACTCCTCAGAAGGAAGATTGGACAATCTATTTGGGAATCTACTTCTGTAGAGATACCTCCTCAGAAACCCAAGGAAGAGTCGCTATGAGTCTGAAATGACTCCACGGCAGTGAGTACCGCGATCCTAGTGCTCAGAATGTAGGGGAAGTGCATACACTTCATGTCCCCAAGGACAGCAGTCATCTGGTCTACCTTCCTCCACTTACCATGCAGTCCCCATCCATCTCTTTGCCCTCATGAGACATTGTTGTTGTTGTTGTTGTTGTGTGCCGTTGAGTCAGCCCCGACTCATAGCGACCCCTCTTTGGGTTTCCGAGGCAGTATCACTACGGAAGTGGGATTGCCCAGCCTTCCTTCCGAGGAGTGACTGGTGGGTTTGAACCGCCAGCTGTCTGGTTAGCAGGCAATATTCAAACACTCTCGTTTAATGCACTGTACCTAACTCATTGTTGTAAATACATACCTCTTTGTCTCTCTTGCTCTCTCTCCCTCTCTTTTTAATTAGGCATTTTTTCCTTCAAGTATATTTGGGGAAATTCAAAGCTCTGTGATGGGGAACATTTGAGAAATAATAAAAAGAGAGAGAGAGAGAGAGAGAGAAGGCTGTTCAGACACTATCTTCTCTTCTTCCCCAGCATCAATTCAGTGAATCTGAGACCCAGAAGCTGAGCAATTGGCCAAAGCCGAATGGCAGCTCTTTGCATCAGGAGCAGAGAACACAGTGTGCTGGTCTGGTTCGTGCTCATGGACAAATGTGAGCATGGTGGATATTAGCTCACGGTGGCCCTTCCTGGGGTCCTACTTTAGAATTCAAAGTGTGCCTCCAAAATATTCAAGGTTATCTACCAGGTCTTCCAATACTGGCTGACCATCTCCCAACACAATTTTCAGGTCTAGGCTTCCCATCTGTCCTGGTGGGATCTCTATTTCAAAAGAAGGGAAGCAGGGCACTAGCACAAAGCTGATTTCTCGGTCACTGTAGGAAGATCCACATGACCTCACCATTCCAGAAAATGTCATAGAATTGTTTAGGAGCAATCTTATTCTGGCAGGTACAAAAATAAATAAATAAACACAATGACTGAGTGAATAAACTAGTCCCCGGTGAGTACAGCTGGATAGTGACCGTGACAGAGGTGGGGAGGGAGCTGAGGAACCTCAAGAACTCCCCTCAAGGCCAACACCCACAGCAGCTGGGCAGGGTGCGGAAGCTCCTCAGATCTGCACTGTGAGTAGGAATCAGATCTTAAAATCATGTTTTATATGAATTTTGTTATGAATTTAAATCTGTCCTCCCAGATGATATGCTGCAGGACCTGTCTCCTGGTTACTGTGACCTCAGAAGGATATAGGGTCCGTCTTTGAAGATGTTATCAGTTAGGTAACTGGGGCATAATTGGGTAGGATGGCTCCTAATCATGTCTGAGTGATGTCATATACAAGTAGAAAACTGACACAGAGAAAAAAGCACCCAGGTTTAGACCATAAGAAGGTGCATCTAAAAGCCAAGGATACGTAAGAAATGTCTTGGGCAACCAGAAACTGTAGAGGACCAGGAAAGGTCCTCTCCAAGAGAAGACAGGGCAACAAGAGTTCCTTGAAGCACTGATGTGGACTTCCAGCCTTCAGAACTGTGAGGAAATCCATTTCTGCTTTGAACGCCAGCCACACTTTTTTGGTATTTTGTAACAGTGCTCACAGGAATCTAAGACCATCGTCAATAATTATGGGCACACCAAACAATCTCCATATAAATGCTTCCGGGAGGGAGATCGCTCACTTGACTCCCCCATCGTCCAGTGTGCTGGATGCTGTCAGGACCATTCTGCAGGGGGAGGAGCACCTAGGAGGGTGAGAGTCCTTCCCACAGTTATGTCATCTCCCATGCTGAGCTTCGATGGGACCCCAGACCTCTGTGCCACAGATGCTGTTCCAACAATGTCCTCCAGATGGTGTTGAGTGATAAGTGAGGCTACAGAATGAGGGTGAGCCCTTCATAGGATGTACTGAGGGATGAGAGAATGATCAAACTTTTCTGTATCCCCCATGGTGTCCCGTGGAATCAGAATTTATGCTACGTTGTCAAATATCTCTGTTCTATGACCAGCAGTCTCTATGATCTTTAGCAGAGGGTCCTTGGATGCCCCATTTCTGGGGAAGGAGGTCAGGCTTTCTCCTTCTACTTTCTGACATGAGACTAGAGAGTGTACTGACATTGCCCTGTTTCATACCTTGGATTTCTAAGATGGGGAATCACTTCACCTTCCAAGGTTATTCTCAAAACCTGAGGAGGAACGCCAGGAGCTCATTCCACCGTCTAGAACCCATAATACTCCTGTGTATGTTCTTCTCCTTGGCAGTTTCTCCTCCTTGTGAGGGTCAGGACGTTCCCCAAATGGTTCAACATGGATGACATGTGTACTGTTTGTCACCATGGCTGCTTTCCCCTGTCCTTAGTTGTACTGACCCAGGTGCAGCTGCAGGAGTCATGTTCAGGAATGGTGACCTCTCCACAGACACTCCCCCCAACATGAGCTATCTCTGTAATCCATAATCACGATTAATTTTGAGATTGGATCAACCAGCAGCCAAGGATTGACACAGTGACTACAAAGATGGGCTCAATTATAGCTCAGATCGTGGAGCTGGGCCAGGACCAAGCAGTGTTATGTTCCGCTGTTCATAGTCAGAGACGACTTGATAACACATAACAACAGCAACCAGCAGCCAAGGAAGGGCCTGTCAGCAGTGTGCTGTGAGAGCAGACAGACTATGCCCCATGTCTGAAGAGTCGACCCCTTAGCTACAGACACTGGTCCACAAACAAGTTCTCCCTGCCAATGAGCTCTTCGACAGTCATGTATTACTGTGCAAGAGACAGTAAAGAGAAGTCAGTGAGGCCCAGACACACACCTCCCTGCAGCAATGGGACTGGTCTACAAAGAGGTGGTCAGGATTTACAGAGCACAAGGCCCCAATCTCAGGGAAAAGTGTGGTGGGGGAGGCTGTGGAACAAGGGACTTCCTTTCTCTCCAAATTATAACATTTCCTCCAAGCACCCATCCATGGTTACTATTATAAAACACCATAGATACTGAAATTGTCATTTATTTATGCATTGCAGTCAGACATATATTTGTATGTGCACATTCATATATTGACATGTACATATTATATTTGTATCATCCATGGTAATCACACATAGTGTACAATTTGTATTGGACTGAATGGAAAATGAAGCAGAATGTTCCAAAATATGTGGAATTCAACTAAAGCAGTATGTAGTGGAGAATTCATAGCCTCATACCCTTCTATCATATAGAAAGAATGGCCTCACATCAATTACCTCAGCTCCTTGCCAATGAAAATAGAAAAAGGTGAGCATGTTACATCAAAGCTTAACATGGAAATAATAATAATAATAACAACAACAATGAAAACATTAATATAAGAACTGGCATGAATGAAATAGAAAAGATAAAATAAATGAAAGAAAAAGTAATTTATTTGAAAAACCGAAAAAGAAAAAGATGATGAACTCACTGCCCTTGAGTAGATTCCGACTCATAGCAACCTTGTTTGGGTTTCTGAGGAGGTAAATGTTTGTGGAAGTAGATTTCCAATCTTCCTTTCATGGAGTTGCTGTTAGGTTTGAACCTCCAACCTTATGGTTAGCAGTCAAATGCCTTAGGCACTATACCCCCTGAGTTCCTTGATTCTTTGAGAAAACCAAATAAATGTGCCTGATGAGGATATAAAGAGAGATGACACAAACGATCAATAGCAGAAGCCGGAGTAGAGACAGCACTTTATGGTGATTGGACTTATGCCCTGTTCTTTTTACAGATAGAGGGCTCTGCAAACCTCATGAGAAATGGCCAGCTCGGCCATGGAGGTGGTCCAGGAACATGGTTGGGTCCATTTGTGAGGGGTAAAGGTCCACATACTGGGATAATACCTACCAGGTACGTGTTCAGGTGCACTTGACACTATCCCTCTCTGTTCTATTTGTTGTTTTACATCAGGAAATTATGGTTAATAATAGGTGAAAAGGAAATCACCTTATGGGTAGTAAGAGTTTAGCACAGCATAATCCATAACATGAAACCCTAATTTTCCCAAACACTATCTTTGTCAGCAAACATCAGCAGGGCGTTCCTGTCTGCTCTGGGGTATGGCCCTCTCAGGAGTCCTGCAACTCCAGCTCTGGTTATATAGGAGGAGAAAATGCAAATAGGGCCCCTCCCTCAGCGGATGAAAGCAGGTCCAGCCCCAGCCCTGCAGCTCGGGGAGAGGAGCTCCAACCCCAGGATCCCAGGTGTCCCCGTTCAGTGATCTGCACGGAACACGGACGAGTCTCCATGGAGTCTGCGCTGGGCTGGGTTTTCCTTGTTGCTGTTTTCAAAGGTTATTTTATGGAGAGCAAGTGCATGTGAAAGGGCATGAATGAGAGAAACAGTGGACATGTGTGATGGTTTCCTGAATCACCTTATCATGTCTCTGTGTTTGCAGGTGTCCAGTGTGAGGTGCAGCTGGTGGAGTCTGGGGTAGGCCTGAGTCAGCCTGGGGGGTCGCTGAGACTCTCCTCTGCAGCCTCTGGATTCACCTTCAGCAGTCATGGCATGAACTGGGCCCGCCAGGCTCCAGGGAAGGGCCTGCAGTGTGTCGCAGCTATCAGTAGTGACGGTAGTTACATATACTACGCAGACTCCATGAAGGGCCGATTCACCATCTCCAGAGACAACGCCAAGAACACGCTATATCTGCAAATGAGCAGTCTGAAAGTCGAGGACACGGCCCTGTATTACTGTGCGAGAGACACAGTGAGGGGAAGTCAGTGTGAGCCCAGACACAAACCTCCCCTGCAGCGATACTGCCGGGCAGCAGGGGGCGCTCCACACTCACCGAGCTCAGGATTCATACCCAGGAGCACCTGCAGGGATGTGTTAAATGTTGGTTTCCTGCTGTGTCTGGGGATTCTTCTCCATCTCACAGTTTCCCCAGGGAATCTCTATTTTTATGATTCTGGGGTCTCCCCTGATAGCTGTGAATTAGAAAACTTGTATTGTAACAGGGGGACCCATTCTCACATGGGAAAAGCATTCTGTCCCTTGTGGAGGGAAAGGCCTGTGCTGGGATCCCACGTGGTTCTGGGGAAGCTCAGGGGAATGTGGAGATTCTTTTCCAATCAGTCTCAGGACAGGGAGAGTCCTTGGGCAGCTCTAGCACTTGAGAGCTTGGTCACTACTTGAAAGGCTGGGGTTTGAACCTGCCCAGGGATGGCTTGAGAGACAGGCCAAGGAATCTGCCTTTGACAGGTCAGACTTAGGGCTGAGCTCTCAGCGCTGTTCCAGAATTAGGACCCTCTCTGGGATTCAGGTCAGAGCGTGAGAGTGGCTAGGTCTGTGTGAGTGACACGTAACAGCTGAATGAAGTCACATCTGGATGTCACTCACTGGAATCCCTCCTCACAAGAGTATGCCTGTCAGAGTCAGGACTTACCTGGGGTCTAGTTTCCTCCAAGTCTGTTTTCATTGTCTCTAGTTCAGCAGGGTCACCTAATCCATGGCTGTCATGTAGTTTATACTCTACACCATACTTACTCAATCTGCATGCTGAGCCAACACTCCAAGAAGCTGGACTATGGCTTCAGCTGACTCCATCCCCATGCGCTCAGCAACTCTCTGGCTCAGCATCCACGTTCTTCTGCTGAAACCTGAGGAAGCAGTGGCTCTGACTGTCCATGGAAAGTAGGCTTTCAAATGGTGGTGGGTTTCTCAGAGCATCGGGAGCACTGGGGGTTTCTAGAAGCATGTGTGGAGGAAGGGCATGGTTGCTCTGAGAAACTGTGGCTTCCACTTGAGCTCATGGATGAATTTTTCCAGTGACCTCTCTGTTTCTGTTTGACATCTGTGTTGCCCTCATTGTACCTCCATCAGCTGGGACCTGCACTTCTCTGCACCTGGAGGCATTTCATGACGGGAGTCTGCCCAAAGGTGAAGTGAGAGCAGATGTTCTCTGGTGTCTGCAGGAGAAGCCGAGGCACACAGCAGAACCCAGCTGGCACCCAGAGGGGCACAGA